AACGGGACCTTTTCCAGACGGGAAAAGTCGCTGTTCAAACCAAACAACTCACTGAGACTCAGGCTAAATTAATTTTATGGAGTTATAACCGTTATTGTCAAACCTTAAACAAACATCTCAAGCTACGTTGTAAGAACTTGTGTGATCTATTCTTACTTGGAGTACGTATTTTAAATGATCCACAGCTGCCATCACACCCAATTTTAGCTAAACATCTGTAAGAATTGCTGCAGTACTGCCATTTTTAATTTGGCTAAAGGTGATTAGTTATGGCGGCCATCTTGAATTGAAGTGACTCCAAAAGATAATTAGCTGTAGACGTGTATCCAGTCATTACTATCTGGGAATTTCATTACAACCCATTCACTGATTCATGAGATATTTTGCTAACAGACAACCTAGGAAAAAAAAAAAACAAGTATATGCAAGACATTTCTGAACCTACTAGGCAATATTTAAAAATTTAGGGAAAAGTCTAAGGTTTTTTTTTTTTGAGTAAAAAAATTCAAAGCTGTCCTCAGTTTAGTCTTTTTAGTTAAGAATTTTTTATATTAATAAAAGTTTTTACATTTAAATTTAAAAGTAAATATCTGCACGAGTTAGAATGCAATTAAAATGAAAGGATATTATGGAGTGCTGTAATCCAGAAAAGCGTTTTTGTTTTTTTAAATCCCCTTCCTTGTCGCAGGTATTTCCTCCTGCCCTCCTCGTTAGTCTGTTTACTCAGCCCTGTGGCATGTTTTGTTGCCATGGCAACAAAGCATTTGTTTGCAAAATATATGAAAAGTTGAGTGACTTGCAAAAAGAAAAATGCGGCTCGCACAGCGAAGTGTCCCCCGTCGATGAATGATCTGAAGAGTGAATGTTTGCAGTTCTGAAGATGAGTGTTTTTCTGGACTGCAACTGAACAGGAAATACAAATAAACTTTAATGTTTTTTTGTACAAAATATAGAAGTTGTTAGGAGATACACTGTGGAGAAGAACAGTGGCAGGGTGTTTTTTGTTTTTTCTTGTCCGAGGCAGAACAGAGTTGGCGAGTGGAAGGAGCAATTTATCCACCACCAGGCACAATGGCGGAGCCAGGGGGTGGCCAACGGTGGCCTTGGCCACCGTACATTAATCTTTGGCCACCCAAATTATTTGAGGAACTTATACTTTTTAACAATAAAAACTATAAAGCTTAGATTTCTTAAATGATTGGAGTGGCCAGTTCACATATATTTATAGTGGTGGGCGGCCATCTTGGATTTTGATGTGGCAACCCAATTTTGGACAGGTTCCTTTCTTACGTCTAGATGCAGCCACATACCAAAATGGAAGTCGATATCTCGCTTAATTTTCAAGTTATCACGCTCACAGCATGCAGACAGCCGAACACAGGATATTTCCAATTCCACCTTTTTGCTCCGTGACAGGGACCATTAAGAGTTCTTGTGCCCGTCGTGTTGGCAGAATAGAAATAAAATGTACAGAAAGGGAATACTTCAAATACTTCTGTATGTCTACAACTTATCGAATTTTGAAGTCAGCCTGATTCAATATGGCCGCCACAGCCAATTGACTTTAAAACAACAAGACAAAAATGGCTATAACTCACTCAACTGTACAGATATCGAGCTAAAGTTGCTGTGGTAGTAGCTGAGAGTCATTGACAACACATACTCCAAGTCCTAGTCGTTTTGTTAGTCTAACCCGGTTTGTCAGCAAAATAACTCACAAAACACTGGACATTTGATTGAAACGTTTAGGAATTAATCGTAGGATGCAAGTCTCCAAATGACTGCCAACTGCTTGAAGATGGCCGACACAGCAGAATTAAGAAGGGGCTGTGGAAAACACTGTTGGCTACAGTTTTTGTAAGAACCGGGCAAAGTTACGCCGCACCACCGAAACAGTTAGGACTCCTAACTGAACTGACAATCGTGGTCAATTAAAAGAACAAAAGTACGGCACACAATATTTCATACGCCCGTCAACAAACTATTACACAGCAGTCTATAGCAATGTCCCGGACAAGACCTTGTATAACATTTGACCTTGACCTTGGAGCTGGGGTGATCAAAAGTCCGTCTAGTGATGATGCATAAGTGTATAACATTTGGCTTAATTATCTTGAGCAGATCAGAAGTTATGGATGGGACAAGAGAACGTTTACGGGCATACCGTGACTATACCATAAGACGTCCCCAATTCGGCGGGCGAATAAAACAAACACTCTTAAAGGCAGCTATACAAACATCGACCGTTGGACTGACGCTGGCCTGTGCTCTAACCTATCGTCTATAACCCTAGTGGCTGTATTCGTGGTTAAAAACCCAGATTTCTGCCAAGATTTTCCGTACGAAACCTCAAACACAATCATTATATGTTGAAGACACTCTGCTCTACAACCGGACCAAAAACCGTAGAGTCACTGAAGAATGTGGGTAAGACAGCTTTAACGTGCGCTGTGTGGACATCCATCCCCAGAGTCTGACTGCACTCAATATTTTAGACAAAAACAGATCAATCTTTTGCTTTCTTTTAGATCCCAGAGATTCTCTGCACAGGGTTTAATTAGAAGTTTGGTTATGAAAGAGTCGAGATGCACTGACGATCTTTTAATAAACGCATTCCTAGCATTCGCATGAAGAAAAATCTGAATATAAGCCAGAAATTATATTTGCTTTGTTGCAACAGACACGAGCGGAGCAGCGGTGAGAAACCGGACGTGAACATCTGCAGTTTGTTGTTCTGCAGCTGGCAAAACGACAGTCTCGCTTCCAGCAAGTGGCATTTAAATAAAACTAATTAAAAAGGGTATCCTGGTTGTGAGCCCAGTGTGGAGCTCAAACGGCACTGCTCTCACCTGAGCGCTTCCAAATAACATTAAAGTTCTGCCTCTGAGCTCCGAGTCCGCAACGTTGTGGAGAAAAGTACCGAGCGTTTCAACAACTGGCTGACGGGAGTACCATCCGCTCGCAGCCCTGTATGCAAAATATGCAAAACAAACGCTCAACGGCACCGGGATGACAATACCAAACAGAACGAAGGTGTCACAGATAGGCTTAATCTCCAGGAATTAGACTGATCCCTTGTCGTTTCATTCCCTTTAGTGTCTGGGTATGTTCTGGTGTTCTCAGTATCACATTATTCTTTCATGGCTCGCCTCAGCGGCACTCCCTGTAACTCACCCCAAACTTCTCAGATCACCTGATCAGATAAACACTTCGTCACCAAATCTGTGTCGGTGTGGATCTGCAGCGGCGGCCATGTTTATTCACTCAGATCAGCAGAAACAAACATGATTTAGGAGTCAAATAATCGTATAAATGCTGATTCAGCATCCACACCTGTTTTGTTCCATATGTTCATTACTATTAGCTTCTATAGAAATCTTGATGCTAATAACAGCTTCTCTAGCTAACCTTTTGCTATTTTTGGTTAGCCTGTTGGCTAGTTTTAACTTCTGGCTAGCTATTTGCTACCTTTATCTTCTAGATAGCCTTTTGCTACTTCAAGCTTCTAGCTAGTATTTTGGTATGTTTAGCTAATTTTTGCTACTAGCTAGCCTTAAGCTACTTTTGGCAAGCCTTTTGCTACTATTAGCTTTTAGCTAGACTTTTACATTTGGCTAGCTTTTTCATGCTATGAGCTTCTAGCTAGTTTGACTTCTTATGTCTGTGTAGGCTTTGACTACTTTCAGCTTCTAGCCAGCCTTTAGCCACTTTGGTTTCTAGCTAGCATTTTGCTACTTGTAGCTTTAAGCTAGTATAATCAGAAGCTGTTATACGATATTTTGCTAACAGAACGAGTACGTATGGTCAAAGTTTGAAAAACAGTTTCAGCTACTGCCACAGCAGATTTCGTCTCAATATCTGTAAAATTGACTGAGTTGTATCCATTGTTGCGTTTGCTAATATCCCTCAGCTGTGGCGGCCATCTTGAATAGGGATCACAGATGACTTTAAGAGTTTCATTTAAAGTCATCCATATTTTGTCAACTCTACAAACACAAACAGACAAAACATTAGCGCCTCTTGTCTTTGGCAGCGATAATTTTAAGTCCCAAAAGAAAACGTGCAAATCTTAGAAAGTAACATTTCACATCTATAGGAAATAAAACGCACTGTAGCAAGAAACACAATTTGGATCAAGTTGCAAACTCTGTTAGGTGCTATATATAGTTCGCGCGCGCGCACACACACGCACATTTATATATGTATACACATGGAAAGGTTGTTCACCAACCAGGAGGCTAAAGCCTGAAGCTTTTAGCTGCAAACATGTTTAAGTAAACATTATCCACCACGCTCAACAGATCATGGGTTACCAAAGGTTCACAGGAAAACACGGAAGTATTTAAAAATATACTGCGCGAGACAGGAAGTAAAAAAAAAAAAAAAAAAAAGTGAATCAACTGCACCTTCAATAATCAAATTAAAAACGCACCCAATCTCATCAAAACGTCTGAAAGCAAACTCAAACATACATTTAATGAAGTTAAAAACAAAACAGGCGCCGAGCAGCTGTCAAATTGTCCCCGCATGTCTAAAGTGACAGCTATCAACACGGCGTTAGCCGTTTAGCTAGCTGAGCTAACATGAGGCGTCCGCACATCTGGATTCAACACAGCTGGTCGGGACAGGTGACGAGTCCAGCAAGCGTTTTACTTCGTTTGTTTTATCTATTATTTTGTCGGGAGAATTTGAGGACACATGGCCCCTGACGTGAAGCCCCCCTCTCCTCTCCCCCTGTTAGCGGCTAACTTAGCATGCTAACCTCCTGCCTCCGCTTTAAGCTGACGTCGCCGTAAACTCGCACACGTCTGCGGGCGAGCCACAAGCTAGCTGGCGGGGCTCGAACTTTCTTAGTACTGGCTCGCTGACTCCCAGAAAGAAAAAACAAACGGAAGAAAGAGGAGGTTAAAGGGTCGGCGTGTTAGAAACGACTACATGTGCGGAGAGGTTTCGGGCTCCCGGTGGTGTCGCGTGTTTACTGGAAATGCGGTGTACGCTACCCCGTTCGACGGCTGTCTGGGAGCAGAAGAGGCCGGTCGGCATTCCCCCGGAGTGGCCGCCGCTGTCGCTCCGTTCCCCGGTGTCGCTGCGCAGGATGGTCCCGGGGCTGCTGCCGCCGCTCGGCGGGGTTTAAAGGAGGCTCGGGCGGTGATTAATCACATCGGCATGTCTGAGCTGAAGTTTGGCGTCACCTTGCAGCGGTTCATGACTCCCACTGTTTGAGATGTAAAAAAATAAAAAAAGGGCAGGACGCTCTTTCCTCCCAGCGGGTCCAGATCACCGCCGGTGTGGACTAGTGTCCACACGGGCATCCGTATGTCCCCCGCGCTGACATGTCCACTTCTGTCCCTTTATTTATTTATAATTACGCTGGCTTCCTGCGCACTCTGAAAGAAGTAAAAAATATATATATATATATTTGTATTTTGTGTTTTATAAAAATATGAGATCTGAAGCTCTCGACCTTGACCTCTCTCAAACATCTGTTAACTTCCTGCTTTTAGTTTTCTACATCGCCTTACAACTTAGCTTTTTGTTGTTGTTGTTCCATCTTCTTTAAAAATAAATACCACCATTTTATGTTCACTTGTTATTCTCAATTTGTATGCATCCTTTATGGATGTCTTTGTTGTCCACTCTTTGTTTAAACAAAAATCAGGTCTCTCTTGTAAATGAGAGGCTCAAAGGGATTAACCTGTACAAAGAAAGGTTGAATGAATGGCAACAGTTTTACACTGAGATCATCTCATGACAACAAAGACAGGGTTAATCTAACTTTGTAAAGAAGAAACAACTTATCGTATCCGTGTAGTGACATTATGTTTGGTCTCTAAGTCAGCGCTCGACGACCCTCAATTACTACCACGCCAAATTTCAGCTCAACATCTGTAAAACTGACTGAGTTGTAGTCCTTGTTGTTCTTTCTGTCTGTAGCTGCAGCGTCCATATTAAAGGTACCCCTGACTGAACAATAGACCGTCTTTGCTTCAGCTGTAAAGGCAACAATAAAAACATCGTAGGCAGCTAAAGTTGTATCCATCCATCCATTGTCTTTACCCGCTTCTTCCTTTTCAAGTTGCTAAAAGGAAAGTTCCCAGACTGGGATTTGAACTGGAGCAACCTTCTTGCTGAGGGGTACACCTCTACTGACTGTACCACCGTGCCACCCTTAACGTTTCTTTCAGCTGTTCGCTTCATCAGGTGTTGCCACATCGAGCAAACTTGCACAAAAGATTTGGCGATTGTTTTATGCCAGATGCACTAATGTTTTATCAATTTAAATACGAACATTGCTGTATTGTTCATGCTGCAGTGCATTATGGGTAAATGCTAGAATATCTTGCAAAAAGATCTGAAGCTCTCGACCTTCAAACTGTTAAGTTCCTGGGAAAAACCAATGCAGACATGTTCCTGTTTTTAGTTTTCTACATCGCCTTACAACCTAGCTGTTTTTTTTTTGGTTACGTTTTTTTAATACCATTTTATTTTCACTTGTTATTCTCAGTTTGTATACATCCTTTATGATTGTCTTTGTTGTCCACTGTTGTCATCGCTCTTTGTTGAAAAAAAAATCAGGTCTCTCTCGTAAATGGGTCCCCGAGGCTCAGTGGGATTAACCTGTACAAATAAAAGTTGGAATAGTTGCATCCAGCTTGAACGCCAGTTTTGGACGATGTCTCGTTTGAACCGGAGTGCGTTGGCAGAAAGGAAAATATAGAAGTGGCTCAGAAATAACATAAAACGATGAAGCGCTTGTGCAGCTTATATGAGAGAGCTTCTGCTGCAGAGAGCTCCGCTTTCCGTTGCTCATGACAAACATCAGGATCAAAACATAATCTTACATAATCTTACGCTTGTCTTCCTTTGGGTGGCGGGGCACTGGAGCTGATGTAAAGCTGAACTCGGTTTCACTCGGACGACAGAGCATGAACCACATCAGTGGGAGTGCACGCACGTGACAGAAGTCCGGTGCGGACCCGTGGACGCAGGACGGCAGACGTTTGTTGGGACGAGCGCCTCAACTTTAGCCCGTTAGCTTTAGTGTTAGCTCCACAGCTATTATGCTTAACATCCCGAGTTGATCACGTTTGATGGTTTCGACCGCGCTAATACAAAATATAACTTCGTTGTCATGTTGTTACTTTCAGCCGCGAGTCCTTGTGTCGCCACGTCAACCGATGTACGTCATTGCCACAGAATGCATTGTGCCGGTAAAATAGCAGCAATGTGACGGTGACATCCTTAGGTGAAAAATGTAATTAACGTAATTTATTTTGAGGTAGTTCTGCATTTTCACGTGTCACAAAGAACATCTTTTAGTAGACAAGTGAAAAAACATGTTAAGGCCAATATGTGCAAGTATTCAGAGATACATTTAAATTAGACTGACTCCAGAAGTTGATCAGTTGTGCAACCAGTGATCCCTTTTGGTAGTTTTGCATTATACAACTTTGTGATATTTTGCTAACAAAGAAGTTTGACTCCAACAGCTAGGCTGAACTTCTACTCAACGATTCCACGCAGTGTGTTGCAGTCAAAGTATGTGTTGGGGACGGTGCTCAGCTACTACCACATCAAACTATAGTTAAATATCTGCAAAAATTACTTAACTGTAGCCGCTGTGTAGGCGAATGTCATTCAGCTGTGGCGGCCATCTTGGTAACTACGGTAACTAAGCATAAGAAGACACCGAGGCAGGTTTGAAATAAAATGTTTCTGAAGGAACTGAGGAAGTGCATTTTTATGCTTCGTATGATAAATGTTTCAAAAAGTATAAAAGTTAGAAAAATCAAAATTACCAGCAGCCGTCTGATAAACGAGCTGAATGTTTTGATCCGTGAATGACTAAAATGGTACAAAGTTCGTAGAAGTAGAATAAACAGTGTGAACTAAAGCGGCTGATGCTCCGTAAAAACCCGTTCTGGTGGTTTGATTCATGAGTTCTGGGCATTTTAGGGACTTTTCTTATTCAGATTTACTGAATGCACAAAGTTTGGTTACTGTTTTTATAATATATGTTTGACTTCGTCCTCGTCTGCTCACACAGACTCATGTTCCTTGAGTTATTCCAATCTGGCTTCAAATCTCTCCATAGCACTGAAACTGCTCTACTGAAGGTTTTTAATGACATTTTCATATCCACAGACGCAGGTGATTCTGTGCTGCTTGTCCTATTGGACCTTACATCTGCTTTTGACACCATCGACCACAATATCCTCATTTCTAGACTGGAGCAGTGGGTGGGCATCACAGGGTCAGCCCTTAAATGGTTTGGGTCCTACCTCTCTGACAGAACCTTCTGTG